TCCTTAATACACAGTGCAAAAATTTTTGTTCTACGACAAAAATTGACGAAGTTATGGCCAAATTACTAAAAAAGTTCACTGACCGCCCGGCGGCGCGGGGACGATGACGTCATTATATCCGATCCGAACGCTGCCGGCGTACTGCGTGGATAGAAAATATTTTTTTCTAGCCAAATTATCAGTTTTAGAGAAAAACTTGTAATGACATTTATTCATCAGAATAAAGTAAGCTATCGATAGGTAATTTTTAAAAATGGAAATTGTGAAAAATAACGCAAAAAATCCATACGCTCATACGATTCAATGGCACGCAGAGACGCGATTGGGGTCTCCGCGGTGGTATATTTGGCGATTTATTCAAATAAAGTGTACATAAGTGTTGTTAGAGTCATATCTTCTTCCAAGTAAAATATAAAAATGTATAAGTATTAATTTATTTTTCTAACAATAAGGTATAACTTCTAACAATAAGACATTGCTATGAAAATCATTTCGATGTACACTTAATNGCATATCAAACTAAACACTGTTGTATCTCATGAAGTTACATTACAATAACTTCCAAGTGCCAGTTGGCAACAAAAATGTTTATATATTAGTCTGATATGATTGTATAAATTCTGAGTTAATATAAGAGATCCTATAAATAGTTGATCGTTTGCTCTTTGCTACAAAGGACTTTCTCCAGTAGCTTGAGGTAGCTGGAAAAAAGTGATATTCTTTGTGCGGTCCAAATTCTAACTACATAGTTGTCTTTGCATCGCATTTGCACAATCAAGAATACAACGCTAAAATTACCAGACTTGACATCTCATTAAGTGTGATGTTTCTTGAGATAGTTACATAGTAGGAGCTTACTCGGCCGAAGGATAACAGCCGTTTATCAACTCGGAGCTTTGCCTGTATACAGGGTGGAAACGATAAGTGATCTCATTCGATTATTTCTAAACTATACAGGATATCAAAAAACTTGTTACTGATCCTGAAAGTGCTTCACAAGCTCTATCCAACGGTACCAATAATAAGTTACAAAATAAACTGGATCTATCCGGAAATTCCAAATTTCCAGCTTCCTAATTCTGTAACCTATTACTGATGCCGTTTAAAAGAGCTCGGGAAGCACTTTCAGGATCAGTAACCAGTTTACAGATATCTTGTATAGTTTAGAAATAATCAAGTGAGATCACTTATCGTTTCCACCCTGTAGATCACATAACTATAGCAGTATAAACTCTCTTAGTTTTTGGTTTTTGATTCTGTTTAGTTTTGTGTTATTAATGTTTTCTTTTTTTTTCTCTCTTTTTTGTCCTGTTGCGCGACTTCTTGGCTGGTAGCCTCAATATGGTCCCGGTCAAGAGGGCGCGCAATCCGCAATCTTCATCGTGTTGGTTCCCGCTGAAAACCAGCTTCTCGACATGGCGCTTGTTATGTCGCGAATATAGCTGAGCGGATGCCTCATCAGCATAGCTTGTAGTTTAATGTTATATGTACTGTATTTTTATTTTATTTTTCTACGCTGAATAAAGTATTCTTATTCTTATTCTTACCGAGTTGGGCAGCGTGTGCGGCGCGGGCGGCGCGCTCAGCCCGCCCACGAGCAGGCGGTGCGCGCGCGCCAGGGCGGGCGCGTGCGCGGTGGCGGCCGCGCTGCCCGACGACAGAGACAGCCGCGAGCGAGACACGCGCACTGTCACCTGCAAGATCAAGCAATCGTTTTTAACAACTGATATTTTTTTTAATCCAAAACGAGGAAGCTCTTGGCCTGTATCTCACCTGATGGTAAGTGATGATCAGGCCGAAGGTGGAAGCGAGCATCACCCGGAATCCTCCACCACAGAGGAACTGGCTATCTTACCTCTAACTGCCGGAACACAACAATACTGTTATGTTGTTATGGCGACATACTTAGGTAAGATGGTGGTAGCTAGCCAGGCGGACTTGGAATAAGCCCTACCACCAACCAAACCGAACAGAAAATTCTGCCCCCACTGGGAATCGAACCCGGCACCTCTGCGTCTGAAGCAGGTAGTCTAACCACTAGACCACAGAGGCGGTTATTTAAGACTTGTAGACGTTTGAAACGCCATTAAGACAACACAAAAGGTTGTAGCGCCCAAGTTAAATATTTTAGGTGTTATGGTGTTAATATTGTTATCACGGTTTTACAGTCCGTATCTTTCTCTCTTTTCTTATCTGTGTTACTTCTGATATTTATTTTTAGACCCTAACTAATTTTAGTCAACAAGTTGATACTTTCGTCACATGACGAATATTAAACACCTTCAAATCAATGAGGGCTATAGTTTTAGCGCTCACCAGTATGCGCCACTGTAGAGTAAGGTCCTGTCACTTGCTAGTAGCGAAGACAGTGGCACCAACTGGTGAGCGCTAAAGTGGTAGGAGGACTATCGCATTTGCACTCATCAAGATGGCGCCACTGTAGAGTAAGGTCCTGTCAATCGCCAGGGGTGCCAACTGTTAAGTATAAAAACGATAGCCCTCATTGGACCTGCATCGATCTTAATTGATTTATCTTACTAAAGTTATTATTATTAAAACTTATGATACAATAATTATTCCCTATCGTGAGCCAGAAAACGTGTTTTACTCACGGGTGTCCAAGTGCCGTCAGCGACGTATGCATCGAGCGTGAGCTCCCGGCGGCGGCGGCCGCGCGCCACGAGTCGCAGCTTGCCCTCGCGGATCATCAGCGCCAAGTAGTGCTTTGGTTTCGCTTTGGAGCCCTGCGAAAATAACACACTATTACTAATTCTATTTCTCTCTTCAATATCAGCCTCCGAAATAACCAGATGCACTTATTACTGATAATTCCATTTCTTTCGTCGTAATCAGCCTTCGGAATGACCGGCTGCATATACAAAACAGGTATAAAACTCATTTAAACTGGTGGATGCAAAAACGGTAACCTGTTGGATAAGATTAGAAGTAAATGGGTCCCAAATGGAGACTATGTCTCAGCAAACGTAGTATAGGACATTCATGTATTTGAAACAGGGCTTTAAGAAAATATTTGGCAGCAGTTAGATGGAAAAGATGGAACATTGTGTTTTGTAGTGTTTCTTGGGGAAAACTTACGCCCAACAGGAGTTCGTATAAAGCCGGGTCCAGACGGGTGTAACGCGTAATGTAATGTATCGTGTAATGTAGTGGAAATAGTATGGGCAGCATTTTACCTGTAATGCTCGTAGTGCCGTCCTGTCCACACGTAAAATTCGTGTTACATTACACATTAGGTACACCCGTCTTGACTAGAGATGTAAATTGGCAAAATCTGACCGGTCACGATGGTCTAATACCATAAATGACTGGTCAAAAACGGTCAAATTCAGTCAATTTGACTCAATATTACTGTACTAGTTACCACCGAATAATTTATTTAATTAGGTACCCAATTTTTATGAAATTTTAAATGAAGGAACGTTATTTTTTGTTTTTGACCGTTTTTGACCAATTTGACCGTAAATGGACGGTCAGTCAAATTCAGACGCATTAGTCATTTTCAACACTAGACACTAGTCTTGACCCAGCTTAAGGTAAGGAGTACGTCCAGGAGCGAACTGCCATTGAATGACTGTAAATAAGCTTAAAAATCGTGAGGACTAGTGGACTCACCGGCAATAACAATAGTAATCCTTCAGGCCTAAATGTGCGCAATTGCAGCGTGATGACGAGCTCCTTAGCCTTCGGCGGCAGACGCACGGCCGCGTGACTCCAGCGCGCGTCGCCGAACTTTACCGCACCCGCTTCTACCGTGTATGATGACGTCTGGAATGATAAATTAAACCCACTTGAACCGTAAACTTAATCAATGGGACACTGCGAATTGTCAGATGGCGTATCGTTTCATTCGTCAATAAAAGTTTAATGTTGCACACGTTAGATTTTTGTTCACGAATACCTCCTCTTCTAATTATTATTTTTGTGTTTAGTTTGTTACTGAAGCCAGTCATGAACCATTAAAACGGAAATTTAAAAAATACGGCATGTCGCCACAGAAGTATTAAATCGGAAAGAATCCAACAAGGTGAGATAAACTTTGCGGTGCGTCACAGCAGCAGTGGTATTGCGCCCACACTTCAGATTTAATGCAGAACTACGGAGCAGTAACGATTGGTAATATCAACGCTTGTATGGCATCTATCTTACTAGAATTATTTCCAATCGGTTAAAAACATCATTTACAACATCTTCGTGATCTCTTGTCACAACTCACACGATAACAAAGACATCCTTTGTAAATAACATTGGCAACGCCATACCAGAGTAAATACAAAATGAGTAGGTTATCTTCATAGAAACGCACCGGGCGCGGTTTGTAGGCGGCGCGCACGCACACACTGACAAAATTCGGCACAACACCCCGCTAATCCACGCAAAATTTTGTCAATGTGTGCGTGCGCGCCGCATACGTATTACCGCGCTCACATACAAACCGCGCCCGGTGCGTTTCTATGAAGATAACCTACTCATTTTGTATTTACTCTGGTATGGCGTTGCCAATGTTATTTACAAAGGATGTCTTTGTTATCGTGTGAGTTGTGACAAGAGATCACGAAGATGTTGTAAATGATGTTTTTAACCGATTGGAAATAATTCTAGTAAGATAGATGCCATACAAGCGTTGATATTACCAATCGTTACTGCTCCGTAGTTCTGCATTAAATCTGAAGTGTGGGCGCAATACCACTGCTGCTGTGACGCACCGCAAAGTTTATCTCACCTTGTTGGATTCTTTCCGATTTAATACTTCTGTGGCGACATGCCGTATTTTTTAAATTTCCGTTTTAATGGTTCATGACTGGCTTCAGTAACAAACTAAACACAAAAATAATAATTAGAAGAGGAGGTATTCGTGAACAAAAATCTAACGTGTGCAACATTAAACTTTTATTGACGAATGAAACGATACGCCATCTGACAATTCGCAGTGTCCCATTGATTAAGTTTACGGTTCAAGTGGGTTTAATTTATCATTCCAGACGTCATCATACACGGTAGAAGCGGGTGCGGTAAAGTTCGGCGACGCGCGCTGGAGTCACGCGGCCGTGCGTCTGCCGCCGAAGGCTAAGGAGCTCGTCATCACGCTGCAATTGCGCACATTTAGGCCTGAAGGATTACTATTGTTATTGCCGGTGAGTCCACTAGTCCTCACGATTTTTAAGCTTATTTACAGTCATTCAATGGCAGTTCGCTCCTGGACGTACTCCTTACCTTAAGCTGGGTCAAGACTAGTGTCTAGTGTTGAAAATGACTAATGCGTCTGAATTTGACTGACCGTCCATTTACGGTCAAATTGGTCAAAAACGGTCAAAAACAAAAAATAACGTTCCTTCATTTAAAATTTCATAAAAATTGGGTACCTAATTAAATAAATTATTCGGTGGTAACTAGTACAGTAATATTGAGTCAAATTGACTGAATTTGACCGTTTTTGACCAGTCATTTATGGTATTAGACCATCGTGACCGGTCAGATTTTGCCAATTTACATCTCTAGTCAAGACGGGTGTACCTAATGTGTAATGTAACACGAATTTTACGTGTGGACAGGACGGCACTACGAGCATTACAGGTAAAATGCTGCCCATACTATTTCCACTACATTACACGATACATTACATTACGCGTTACACCCGTCTGGACCCGGCTTTATACGAACTCCTGTTGGGCGTAAGTTTTCCCCAAGAAACACTACAAAACACAATGTTCCATCTTTTCCATCTAACTGCTGCCAAATATTTTCTTAAAGCCCTGTTTCAAATACATGAATGTCCTATACTACGTTTGCTGAGACATAGTCTCCATTTGGGACCCATTTACTTCTAATCTTATCCAACAGGTTACCGTTTTTGCATCCACCAGTTTAAATGAGTTTTATACCTGTTTTGTATATGCAGCCGGTCATTCCGAAGGCTGATTACGACGAAAGAAATGGAATTATCAGTAATAAGTGCATCTGGTTATTTCGGAGGCTGATATTGAAGAGAGAAATAGAATTAGTAATAGTGTGTTATTTTCGCAGGGCTCCAAAGCGAAACCAAAGCACTACTTGGCGCTGATGATCCGCGAGGGCAAGCTGCGACTCGTGGCGCGCGGCCGCCGCCGCCGGGAGCTCACGCTCGATGCATACGTCGCTGACGGCACTTGGACACCCGTGAGTAAAACACGTTTTCTGGCTCACGATAGGGAATAATTATTGTATCATAAGTTTTAATAATAATAACTTTAGTAAGATAAATCAATTAAGATCGATGCAGGTCCAATGAGGGCTATCGTTTTTATACTTAACAGTTGGCACCCCTGGCGATTGACAGGACCTTACTCTACAGTGGCGCCATCTTGATGAGTGCAAATGCGATAGTCCTCCTACCACTTTAGCGCTCACCAGTTGGTGCCACTGTCTTCGCTACTAGCAAGTGACAGGACCTTACTCTACAGTGGCGCATACTGGTGAGCGCTAAAACTATAGCCCTCATTGATTTGAAGGTGTTTAATATTCGTCATGTGACGAAAGTATCAACTTGTTGACTAAAATTAGTTAGGGTCTAAAAATAAATATCAGAAGTAACACAGATAAGAAAAGAGAGAAAGATACGGACTGTAAAACCGTGATAACAATATTAACACCATAACACCTAAAATATTTAACTTGGGCGCTACAACCTTTTGTGTTGTCTTAATGGCGTTTCAAACGTCTACAAGTCTTAAATAACCGCCTCTGTGGTCTAGTGGTTAGACTACCTGCTTCAGACGCAGAGGTGCCGGGTTCGATTCCCAGTGGGGGCAGAATTTTCTGTTCGGTTTGGTTGGTGGTAGGGCTTATTCCAAGTCCGCCTGGCTAGCTACCACCATCTTACCTAAGTATGTCGCCATAACAACATAACAGTATTGTTGTGTTCCGGCAGTTAGAGGTAAGATAGCCAGTTCCTCTGTGGTGGAGGATTCCGGGTGATGCTCGCTTCCACCTTCGGCCTGATCATCACTTACCATCAGGTGAGATACAGGCCAAGAGCTTCCTCGTTTTGGATTAAAAAAAATATCAGTTGTTAAAAACGATTGCTTGATCTTGCAGGTGACAGTGCGCGTGTCTCGCTCGCGGCTGTCTCTGTCGTCGGGCAGCGCGGCCGCCACCGCGCACGCGCCCGCCCTGGCGCGCGCGCACCGCCTGCTCGTGGGCGGGCTGAGCGCGCCGCCCGCGCCGCACACGCTGCCCAACTCGGTAAGAATAAGAATAAGAATACTTTATTCAGCGTAGAAAAATAAAATAAAAATACAGTACATATAACATTAAACTACAAGCTATGCTGATGAGGCATCCGCTCAGCTATATTCGCGACATAACAAGCGCCATGTCGAGAAGCTGGTTTTCAGCGGGAACCAACACGATGAAGATTGCGGATTGCGCGCCCTCTTGACCGGGACCATATTGAGGCTACCAGCCAAGAAGTCGCGCAACAGGACAAAAAAGAGAGAAAAAAAAAGAAAACATTAATAACACAAAACTAAACAGAATCAAAAACCAAAAACTAAGAGAGTTTATACTGCTATAGTTATGTGATCTACAGGGTGGAAACGATAAGTGATCTCACTTGATTATTTCTAAACTATACAAGATATCTGTAAACTGGTTACTGATCCTGAAAGTGCTTCCCGAGCTCTTTTAAACGGCATCAGTAATAGGTTACAGAATTAGGAAGCTGGAAATTTGGAATTTCCGGATAGATCCAGTTTATTTTGTAACTTATTATTGGTACCGTTGGATAGAGCTTGTGAAGCACTTTCAGGATCAGTAACAAGTTTTTTGATATCCTGTATAGTTTAGAAATAATCGAATGAGATCACTTATCGTTTCCACCCTGTATACAGGCAAAGCTCCGAGTTGATAAACGGCTGTTATCCTTCGGCCGAGTAAGCTCCTACTATGTAACTATCTCAAGAAACATCACACTTAATGAGATGTCAAGTCTGGTAATTTTAGCGTTGTATTCTTGATTGTGCAAATGCGATGCAAAGACAACTATGTAGTTAGAATTTGGACCGCACAAAGAATATCACTTTTTTCCAGCTACCTCAAGCTACTGGAGAAAGTCCTTTGTAGCAAAGAGCAAACGATCAACTATTTATAGGATCTCTTATATTAACTCAGAATTTATACAATCATATCAGACTAATATATAAACATTTTTGTTGCCAACTGGCACTTGGAAGTTATTGTAATGTAACTTCATGAGATACAACAGTGTTTAGTTTGATATGCTATCAACTGTATATTTCTTGAGCGACAAATAGTCGGTAATTTGACGCTTACTCGTCATAAGTGGGAAAAGGCGACTAAAATTTCTCATTCTAAAGCCCGGTCGTGCTCACAGCACGTAGAATTTAGAATTTTGTCCAATGTCCCCAAGCTACCCATCCTTATCGCTAGCGCGTAATTATATTGCTGTCGCGACTGTGCGACGGGAGCGATAAGGATGGGTAGCTTGGGGTCATTGGACAACATTCTACATGCTCGCTGACCAGTTCGTTCGTTCGTTTCAGCCAAATGACGTCCACTGCTGGACAAAGGCCTCCTTTAAGGTTTTCCAATGCGCGGTCCTGCGCTGCCCGCATCCAGGCTCTTCCCGCGACCTTTACCAGATCGTCAGTCCACCTAGTAGGAGGCCTGCCCACGCTACGTCTTCCAGCCCGTGGTCGCCACTCGAGAATTTTTCTGCCCCAACGGCCATCGTCTCTACGAGCTATGTGCCTCGCCCACTGCCACTTGATTTTAGCAATTCTGCGAGCTATATCGGTCACTTTGGTTCTCCTGCGGATCTCCTCATTTCTGATTCGATCACGCAGGGAAACTCCAAGCATAGCCCGCTCCATCGCCCTTTAGGTGACCTTGAGCCTTCTTATGAGGCCCATAGTAAGCGACCGCGTTTCAGATCCATATACAATCACTGGCAACACACACTGCTCGAAGACTTTTGTCTTGAGACACTGCGGTATTTCGGACGTGAGTTTCGCTGACCAGACTACAGGGTGTTAGGTAAATGGGTATATGAGCCGACACTAGCCCATGTTAACATGGTCATATAAATGGTATGGTGAAGTCAGAAAATTAATATCTTCATTTTAATTATTTTTTTTTTCATACAAATCGGATTTTATAAAATTTATTTTGTATGCAAATTAAAAAAATTAAAATGATGATATCAAATTTCTGACTTCACCATACCGTTTATATGCCCATGTTAACATGGGCTAGTGTCGGCTCATATACCCATTTACCTAACATCCTGTATAGATTATTTTGAACGCTTCTCCCTCAGATCGTGCGCGCGGGCGGGCTGGTGGGCTGCGTGCGGCGCGTGGCGGTCAACGGGCGCGCCGAGGACCTGGCGCGCGCGCAGCACGCCGGCGGGCAGTGCTTCCCCAACATAGAGCAGGCTGCTTACTTCGCTGGTAAGTTTAACTTTTCAACCGACTTCAAAAAAGGAAGAGGTTCTCAATTCGACCCGTATGTTTTTTTTTCTATGTTTGTTACGCGATAACTCCGCCAATTATGAACCGATTTGAACAAATATTTTTTCGGCGTATAGGTAATACCTCAAGGGTGGTCCCATTTAAATTTAAAAATAGAAAAAACAACCCCCAAGGGTGGAAAATTGGGGATGAACTTTTTTATACGCAATATCTCCGCCGATTATGAACCAATTTGAACGATTATTTTTTTGTTGAATAGGTATTATCAAAAGGGTGGTTTCATGCGAATTTGAAGAAAATATTTCACCCCCAAGGGTAGAACTTTTTTTTAATTTTTAGTTTTTTTTGTGTTCACGCATTTGAAGTCGGTTTTATTTTTTTTTTTAAAGTTAATTATTCCCGGAATAAAGATAGCCTTCACTTACACATTGATGGACAGTACACGAGCGTTCAGGTAGCAAAGTATGATACGACAAAACGCCAACAGACGTCATAGTTTTTATTAGTTCAATATTGAAACTGATCCCAAAGGCAAGGTATGTGAATAAGTAGTGTCATTTGGGAAGTAATTCTTAAATTGTACTGTCCAACAAAGTGCTAAGCTGCTTACTTCGCTGGTAACGAATATAACGTCTTAACTTTTCCCGTGGGACAAACTTGGTCTTTACTAGTTGAATTTATTTGCGCTCAAGCTTACACAGATCCTGTGTAGGCAAAATNACACTGCTCGAAGACTTTTGTCTTGAGACACTGCGGTATTTCGGACGTGAGTTTCGCTGACCAGACTACAGGGTGTTAGGTAAATGGGTATATGAGCCGACACTAGCCCATGTTAACATGGTCATATAAATGGTATGGTGAAGTCAGAAAATTAATATCTTCATTTTAATTATTTTTTTTTCATACAAATCGGATTTTATAAAATTTATTTTGTATGCAAATTAAAAAAATTAAAATGATGATATCAAATTTCTGACTTCACCATACCGTTTATATGCCCATGTTAACATGGGCTAGTGTCGGCTCATATACCCATTTACCTAACATCCTGTATAGATTATTTTGAACGCTTCTCCCTCAGATCGTGCGCGCGGGCGGGCTGGTGGGCTGCGTGCGGCGCGTGGCGGTCAACGGGCGCGCCGAGGACCTGGCGCGCGCGCAGCACGCCGGCGGGCAGTGCTTCCCCAACATAGAGCAGGCTGCTTACTTCGCTGGTAAGTTTAACTTTTCAACCGACTTCAAAAAAGGAAGAGGTTCTCAATTCGACCCGTATGTTTTTTTTTCTATGTTTGTTACGCGATAACTCCGCCAATTATGAACCGATTTGAACAAATATTTTTTCGGCGTATAGGTAATACCTCAAGGGTGGTCCCATTTAAATTTAAAAATAGAAAAAACAACCCCCAAGGGTGGAAAATTGGGGATGAACTTTTTTATACGCAATATCTCCGCCGATTATGAACCAATTTGAACGATTATTTTTTTGTTGAATAGGTATTATCAAAAGGGTGGTTTCATGCGAATTTGAAGAAAATATTTCACCCCCAAGGGTAGAACTTTTTTTTAATTTTTAGTTTTTTTTGTGTTCACGCATTTGAAGTCGGTTTTATTTTTTTTTTTAAAGTTAATTATTCCCGGAATAAAGATAGCCTTCACTTACACATTGATGGACAGTACACGAGCGTTCAGGTAGCAAAGTATGATACGACAAAACGCCAACAGACGTCATAGTTTTTATTAGTTCAATATTGAAACTGATCCCAAAGGCAAGGTATGTGAATAAGTAGTGTCATTTGGGAAGTAATTCTTAAATTGTACTGTCCAACAAAGTGCTAAGCTGCTTACTTCGCTGGTAACGAATATAACGTCTTAACTTTTCCCGTGGGACAAACTTGGTCTTTACTAGTTGAATTTATTTGCGCTCAAGCTTACACAGATCCTGTGTAGGCAAAATGTACACCTTTGGATCTCCTAGAAATCCAGTGGTGAGAACTATAGAGGTCTCGTTACCTAATATTTCTCTATTGGATTAATGAATTAAGGGGCCCCCCAATGAGTCTTTTAAGCGTCATCGTTTCACCAGCCAGCGCCTACGCAGTATTGACGAGGCGCACAAATTTGTTAAGGTAAATAACGTGATGTTAATGCTGAGCGACTGTCGAACGCTAGCGCTTATCGGAAGTACTAGCAGGCCTGTTCATCTCCGCGAGTTTACATCGAAAACAAAACACGCACGATGGCCCACCTACAGGATACTATTCGACAAGGCCTCACATACGAGCGAACATTGACTCACGCACGCGTATTCTTGTGTATGATGGAAGAAAATAAAGAAAATGGTGTACTAGACTGTGCAGTATTTAACTGCCTAAATAATAATAAAAACACAGAATGTACTTTTTTTAAGTTGCCTAAAGACACTAAGAGGTAAATAAGTAGTTAATATTATTCATGATAATTCATGCTAAATCATGTATTTCCTCCGCCATTTTCCGCAGTTTGGCACCTCACGTCACATCATTTTACCGAAGTCAGCCCTATAGCTTCGGCGCAGTGCCGATCACTGACGTTTGTCAACAAAATGGTGCTTGACTCTTGAGACAGGCTAAATTACACCATATTGTTAATGACATTGAGCATACATTTTTTTAAATACCTTTGCGAAGTAAAACTTCTGTGAGACCACTACATTACGCTGGGTCTCTTATGCCGTGTGTTTCCAGCAAAATAGAATAGGTCCACCTCCACTCTTCTCGTGGCTATTGTAAGAAGCTACTAACGGAGAAATCTATGTTCACAGGCGACGCGTACGCAACATGGGCGGAAGCGTGGACACCGGGCGAGGGCGCGGAGGCGGCGGAGCTGCGGCTTCAGTTCCGCACCGGCTCGCCCGGCGGCGTGCTGCTGGCGGCGCGCGGCCTGCTGCTCGAGCTCGAGGAGGGCGCCGTGAGTACTGAGGGCGAGGGCGCGGAGGCGGCGGAGCTGCGGCTTCAGTTCCGCACCGGCTCGCCCGGCGGCGTGCTGCCTGCTGCTCGAGCTCAAACACAGTTCAAGCTTAGACGGATGTCTGGAGTGTGCACAGAGATAGAAGACGTCTCGTGAGTGAGGCGTGAATGTCGGGAGCCGAAGTCTATTTCTATTTTTGAAGACAAACTAAGTTTATTTAGTGTCGTCTTTTGTTATGTATCAATAGGTATCTAATGTAGCCAGAGACGGTCAGTTAGTATCACTACGTTTGGAGATTACGATACTTTACAACGGTTTCGGTGTATGATATAAAACTGCACCTGACCACCATGGACACCAGTATCTCTAGCATGAACAACTTTCGTCTTCGAATCGTTTGCGTATTCGACAATATTCGACACTCAATCTTCGAATTAAACGATTATTTGATAATTTTGATTCTCAAAATAAGTTTCGTGCAATCATTTCTCATACTAAGTTCACTTTACGAGACGTTCACAAGTGCGCTGTTATAATTTTCGTACTAAATCTTTTGATGGCGATTCGAATACGCAAACGATTTGAACTCGAAAGTTTTTCGTGCTAGCCGTACAGGTCGTGTCTATGGTCATTTAGTCTAGGTAGTCCAGTTTTTTATTCTGAACTTGTGTAATGACCAGTGCTGACCCGATATTTCTACTGTAACTTATATTTGAAGTTAACATCGAGGCGTGTTCCCAGGTGGTGCTGACGCGCTACTCAGCGGGCGGGGCAGAGCGCGGACGCGTAGAAGCGCGCGGCGCGGGCGGGCGCGCGCTGTGCGACGGCGCCTGGCACGTGCTCAGCGCGCGCGCCGCCTCCCTGTCCATCGACGCGGGGCCCGAGCTTAGGGCGGCGCCCTCGTCGTTACATGACGCAGGGGACCCGCCCTCTGCGCCCGCGCCGCTGTACATAGGAGGCTTGCCAGGTAATTTCTTCTTGCCGTGTCGACAACAAACATACACAGCTTCAGCCCAAATTTGTCAGCAGCCTTTATTGAATATTACCGCGTGCAGTTTGGGCAAGCAAGGCACGACATCATGCGCTTGGTCGACTGGGGAACAAAACCACAACTGCATTCCCAAGTTTGAGCCATCCAAGAATCCCCACCAAATCAGGTACTGTACTTAGTGACTAGGCGCCTGGCACGTGCTCAGCGCGCGCGCCGCCTCCCTGTCTATAGACGCGGGGCCCGAGCTCAGGGCGGCGCCCTCGTCGTTACATGATGCTGGGGACCCGCCCTCTGCGCCCGCGCCGCTGTATATAGGAGGCTTGCCAGGTAACGGGACTTCCCACTACAGCTTGACCGCTACCAATAAAAACCCAACCAGTGAAGTTCAAGTTTGTCCCAGGGGCAAGTAAAATTGACATTGGACCCGCAACGGGATTAATCAGAAGAACATAGGAGATCGAAGTTATGGTTCCACTCCCCTATATTGCAAAGCGGATGACAGGTGACAAAGGTTAAGTAACCTTGTAGTGGTTAGGCGCCTGGCACGTGCTCAGCGCGCGCGCCGCCTCCTTGTCTATAGACGCGGGGCCTGAACTCAGGGCGGCGCCCTCCTCGCTGCATGACGCAGGGGACCCGCCCTCTGCGCCCGCGCCGCTGTATATAGGAGGCTTGCCAGGTACGACGTGTCGACAAACCTACACAGCGTCAGCCCAAAACTCCGCAACAAGAGTGGCGTTGTCAGTCATCATCATCATCATTTCAGCCGTAGGACATCCACTGGTGAACATAGGCCTCACTCAATGATTTCCACAATAGCCAGTTGGTGGCGACCTGCATCCAGCGCCTTCCCGCTACCTTTATGAGGTCGTCGGTCTACCTTGTGGGTGGACGTCCTACGCTACGCTTTCCAGCGTTGTCAGTAGCCTTCATTAAATCTTCCTACGTGCAGTTGTTTGGGCAAGCAGGGCACGATATCATGCGCTTGGTCGACTGGGGAACAAAACCACACATGCACTCCTAAAGCGCCATCCAAGAATCCCCACCAAATCAGGTACTGTACTTAGTGACTAGGCACCTGGCACGTGCTCAGCGCGCGCGCCGCCTCCCTGTCTATAGACGCGGGGCCCGAGCTTAGGGCGGCGCCCTCGTCGTTACATGACGCAGGGGACCCGCCCTCTGCGCCCGCGCCGCTGTATATAGGAGGCTTGCCAGGTACTCTCTTCTTTTCGTGTCAAAAAACAGTAATTTCGCGGCCCGATACCCACGCGGCGGCCTCGAAGCGATCGACAAAGACGTCCACACTCGACGACGACCGGCGCGCAAGTGACATAGGGGGACTACCAGGTACTCTTTTCTTGCCGTGTCGACAACAAACCTAGTTACACAGCATCAGCCCAAAACTCCGCCACAAGAGTGGCGTTGTCAGTAGCCTTCGTTAAATCTTCCTGCGTGCAGTTGTTTGGGCAAGCATGGCACGACATGCGCTTGGTCGACTAGGGAACAAAACCACACATGCACTCCTAAAGCGCCATCCAAGAATCCACCAAAACAGGTACTGTACTTGTACTTGTTGTGGCTAAGCGCCTGGCACGTGCTCAGCGCGCGCGCCGCCTCCTTGTCTATAGACGCGGGGCCCGAGCTCGTCGTTACATGACGCAGGGGACCCGCCCTCTGCGCCTGCGCCGCTGTACATAGGGGGCTTGCCAGGTAACGGGAATTCCCACTTCTCGTTCCCACTACAGCTTGATTGAGGACTACCAGGTAACGGCACTATTCCTACAGCTGCAACTCCTGTGTAACCAGGATCTACAGCTTGACCGCCAGTAAAAACCCAACCAGCGAAGCTCAAGTTTGTCCCAGAGGCAAGTAAGATTGACATTGGACCCGCAACGGGATTAATCAGAAGAACATAGGAGTTAGAAGTTAAGATTCGACTTCCCTCCATTACTAAGCGGATGACAAAAACTCAGTGGTCGAGCATTTCCGATATGTGCCGGTATCATCGTACTTGCTCCTTTCTCTAGTATTTTATACTGAAAAGCATTATGCCTATCGCTTACACTATTTCTACGAAGAAACCCTACATCTGGATCTTTCAGAACATAGCTATCTCAGATTCATGACATTCTTCTCCACATTACAGAGGGCACGACGGACTGGGCGGACGGCGGGCGCGAGAACTTCAAGGGCTGCATCCGTGACGTCACCATCGGCGCGCACAAGCGCGACTGGCGCGACATGCACGCGCTACGAGGCGTGCTGCTCGACTCCTGTCCTATAGCTCAGTGATAATGACATCGGCTATTATCCACACTGACTCTCAGGCTGATTTTAGGCCTCAGGCTCGAATTTAGCAGGCAGCGGGGCGGCGGCGGTAGCGGCAGGATCTTATGCGTAAAATCAAATAGACCGGTTCACGAAAACAGCGGCGCGGGAGCGGGCAACGAGCGGGCAGCGCACTCCTTCTTTTGCCCACAATAAATCGAGCGTTATGAATAAATTTGAATCGAAATAAAATTGTCGCCGTTGTTCAGACGTTTCGTTTGCGAATAAAAACAAATATCTCGACAACACAACCCCGAACACGACACTTATTTATTTATTTATTTATACTTCAATGCAAAAAATATTAACATTAGGCGAACTTAATGCCATAAGGCATTCTCATCCAGTTTACCTTTGGGTTACACTTCGCCGCTAAAGTGCCGCGCGAGCTGCCCGCTTGTTTCGAGAACGGGTCTGCGTTGCCCGCCCCGCTCCCGCCCCGATGCCCGCTTAACTCGAGGCTGAGGCCTTAGTGTCACGCGGACTGTCAGTGCGGATCGCTCCTCACAGCCGATTTGTATCAACTGCTAGGGAGCGGAGCGGTTCCTCCGGACCGCATTACTCTAAAACGCTCCCTAGAAGTTCATACAGATTGACCGTGCGGAGCGGGTCCGCACCGGACGGTCTGCGTGACACTAAAACCAGCCTCACGCCCGTATTCACAAACATTACTATGAGGTCTCACAGTGCGCGTGGACGCACAGGTTCACACACGAACCAATAACAGAGCTCTATTCAACGCTGTGCGTTCGATTTGCTGCTTCCCTTAAGCAAGCATCGTTTGTGAATGCGGGTGTAATTATTATGTCAATAACGTCCGTGTCGTGGAGAATTGAGGCATGGGAGGCCTCTCAACTCATGCCCCTCAACTCATGCCTCATGCAACGACACCGCTAATTGTCTATATAATCTGAAGTGACACTCATGACTTTGTCCATTATGTCCATGACGTGGAGGGTAGAAATATAGGAGGCCTGTTGAAGTGTTCACATTGTGGGTTACAGTTCAAACCCCTCCAAAATGGCCTTATAATTTAGCAGTTGTAAAGAAAGCCGAGTAGAAGTTTAAGAATTTCACACTTCTGCTACACTCTAATTTTATTTTTATGGACACTAGCACAGAGTTGATTCTCCTTACCTCTACCCTTCATAGTCCATGTGTACTTTTCAGCATATTGTGAACACCGAGCCTACAATAGATATTCACGTGATCTAGGTGTGCATAATAATGATAACTATTTCGACATATGTAAATGAATTTTTGATTATCTAAAAAATAATCAACATCATAAGAACTCGTAATGAAACGATTTCTCTGAGCCGCCAAAGATCGGTTCAATGTCCGTTTCTTTCGTGAACAGCCTGCGAGTTTTAAATAAGAATTTTGACTCAATACAACAGGTTAGTCTGCTATGTGCCTTACTAGTTTTAAGTAATTAATTATTGTTTCGAGAAACAGCAAGATGGTGTGAAATGACAAAAACATCAGGATTATCGTTCTAACGTCTCTTCCTAGAGGCTATTTTAGAGGCTACGTGTAAATACTTAATTTTACTCTAACATCACATTATTTAATTTTATGTGGCAACACTTAATACTCATGTGTACATAATATGTGGGGGTACTTAATTATTTCACCAGTATTCGTAGACGTAAATGTACATATTAAGTTACTGTGGATTTAGTCAAAATAAGTACATATTTTAATTCACCAATTCGTAAATCCAGCAGGTAAATTGTTGATACCATACACTAAATAATTTTACGAATGGATCTATCACTGAGTCTCATCATGCCAACACCTGAGCGTTAATAAGCTTCAAAAATACATGCCTCATTCGTAAAATAATAATTTACATTTAGAAAGCGATGTCTAGTGATTTTTCAGTGATGGGCTTTAGAATAGAACAGAGGGCTTAGTGTAAGTTTACATTAAACTTTGTCACTAGCGAGCGCGTTAAAAATATATGAAGAATTTAGTTCTTGAAAGTTTCCGCTAGGGGCGCTGCACAATCCTCCATACATTTATTTACACTTTTTTACGCAGTCGACATCGAATGCGTTTGACGTAAACTCACACTACGCCCCCTGGACTCTATATTATTTCGTATTTGCGCTCACTAGTTGGCGCCAGCGTCACTGGCAAGTGGCGCCATCAACCAAAAACTAGCCCAAACTAAGTACTTCAAATCAGTTTTTATCCCATAGCATCTCATATCCCATTATTATGTTGTATGAAAGATTTTTAACCACAATGTGGTTTTGCATTTATCAATATGTAGTCACTAGAGATACATTATGTTAGTATACAGTGTGATATGGTTTCCGCCTGCTATGGCCAAAAGTGGAACCAATTCCTATCTTTACATTCAGTGTGAAAATAGACCCAATGTGCCAATAGACAAGAAATGTACAATATAACTCTTAGGACTTAGATCGTCGTATAAAAATTAAACTACTTCTATTCTATTCTAATTTTGTCCAATGACCCCAAGCTACCCATCCTTATCGTTCGCGCGTAATTATGTTGCTGTCGCGCTCGCACACTCACTGCGGGCGCCCGTCGCGACAGCAATATAATTACGCGCGAGCGTCAAGGATGGGTAGCTTGGGCTCATTGGACAAAATTCTACGTGCTCACAGACCAGGCTTTAAAAAGTTGACTGTTGCAGCTCCTCAGCTTCCATAGTCAAATGCGTTCCACTTCTGGCTACAGTTAAGGGAACCGTGGTCGCGCTGTGCAATATGTGCCAACGTGTACATACGTCGGGCCGAGCTTTAATAGTTAGAACAAGCGTGCGGGCGTGTCACAAATGTTTACGTTATTTATTATCGAATCGTGTTCAGTAGCTTGTAATGAGAATGACGTGTAGTATTACACTATTTTTTACAATTAATTAGCAATTAAAACATTACATTAAATTACAGAACTTAACAAATTGTACAATAGCAACGCGACTACCACTAATGTATGGAAACTAGCGCCACCTGCAATTTGAACGCGGGGCTGTCATTGGCTTGCATTGCAGTCGCGTTGCTTGCTATTCTACAATTAGCAACCTGTTGCTAAGATCTGTATTAAGAAAGTAAGTAAAAAAAAAGTAAAAATGTATTTATTTCCAAAAAATACATGCAGGCTTATTGTATTTTTGTCTCTAAAAATGCCCTGTTAATAAAAAATATTGGATAATAAACAAATCACGTACTTTAGTTTTTAAACTATCCAGCAATAGTCTGATACTACACGCCACAATATTGTACATATAGGCACATAAGAATAATTTACACAGTGTATATAATATTGTACGTATTTATTTAACTGCTTTTAGACGAAATAAAACTCTAATGTGGCAATAAAAAACATTTTTATTCTATTCACATCTTACAGTCTCTGACGCCGCCTGTGGGCCGGCAACCGATGCGCGAACTAATTTAAATTGGTACGTATTGTTAAGGTGATAAAACTCAAAATACCCACAGGCCGGCGTCGCCCTATAGCTACCCAAATCGACTTCAACCGGGACCTTTTGCTTGCGACCGAACGACCTATGTCTTTGACAGTCCTAGTTTTGAAGTTATATTTTTGTCATCTTAAAACTATTTTGGCTGTTTTACCCGACTGCCCGATAAGACAGTTTATTGCGTACCTCGTACGTAGGGCACATTTATCCGTTGGTGCATACTGCCTCTTTGATGTAATCAAAGGGTTTACTAACGTATGTTCAAAAAAGTTTTTTTCTCCTTGCTATTTTTCTTCCTTCTTCTTTTACTTCTTGAGTAAGGAAAGAGAAAAACTTTTTTGAGCAGGCAGTACACCTAATCAAAGGCTTATAAGTGTTGACAACTTAGGTAAAAGTATCTACCAAAGATGGCAACGCAATTTACATTAAATTTTACGGTACTTAAACTAAGAAAACTGATATTAAATCTAATAGGAAATGTAAATGACATAGGTCGTTAACATACTGGGCAATCCATTGCCTTTTTTACATTACGAATAAGGACTGAAATGATTGCATTAATGTTGCCTGGCTCAATCTCCTTGCGACATATTACGCCGGTGGCACACCTCCGATAAACGATGTCAGGAAATCCTATCCACACATCTCTACGATTCGATGCGATTCGACTGAGTCGTCCAGTGTGCTACCGGCTTTATGTTAACATTTGAAAGTTGCTATATTTGCAACGAAATGTCCAGCACACAATTTTTACTCTTATAGAATTATTTAGAATACTATCTATGTATAGTAAAAGACACTGCATATCTTTACGTACTAACTATGTCTACCAGGCATCTTTTATGGAATATTTTATTGGACAGAAATACATACATTTAATCGTAATGTCATGCCGTTACGCGTTATACCGCAGTATAACTCGAATGATGAATCAACCGGAAATTCTTTGGAAACAATAAATCACGATAAAATACACATTAACATAAAATCAGATATAAAATTATACAGATACAAAATTATATGACTTTTAAAAAAGACCTCTACCATTGTTTTGTAAGTCTATTATAATCACATTTCTATAGTATTTTATATTTGTTTACTCAATAATAGTCACTTTGCTAAACAATAATGGATTTGTTAAACATTTATCTACGTGCTCTAGGATGTTCAGATGAGATTTTATATCGCGATGAAACTATCCTACTATTATGGCCAAGATACATAAACGATAGCTAAATAACACAACAGCTAAATGTTTTTTTTAATTATATTTTTATCGAAATGCCACTTTACGCGATGCTCACACTAGAGTCGAGTGGTTAATACTTTAAAGGCTACAAATATTTAGTATATCTTTAATTCGATCATTTTCTCACATAGTTAACAATTGTTTAATATACTAATTAGCTCTGCATTGTTCTAGATTTGGAAATGAATGTAACTTTTGAGCAAATGTAATTTTCTAAATTGCGTTGGAACGAATCGCTTCACTTTCGCGTGAATTGGAATTACCAATATAAAATAATATATTTGTACATTTTGTGAACACGTCAATGAATTTTCAATGGATACAACGGCTACATAAGCCGTATGGTTCGGACATTTATTAACAGATTCAGTAGAGTGTGACTGATAGTTTTGGTACAACTATCGGAGTTTAATTTTGCATGATGTTACGCAGACTTGGAACAAGATTCGTATTAATAGACGGAGTCCACGATTTTGTTTTCAGTTGGTATTTTATCACTTTGTATTTATTTTAACAGGAAAAATCGTGGTTTCAAAAATCGGTTTATCAATACGTATCTGCATTTGTTTATACAATAAAGACAATTAGAATCCACTTACAAATAGAATTCAAAAATACAAAGTTTCAAATACATAAACAGCGAATGCTTAATACAGGATAACATCAAAAACTTTGCACATAAGAGACTTACATTAAACAAGAATAATGGTGGACAAAAGGCAGCAAACTCCGACATGTCCTGTGTCCAAGTGGCCTGTGTTTAGGGTTGCCAGGCGTCCGGCTTTAGCCGGACATGTTTGGCTTTTTAGGGACTTGTCCGGCCAAATATTGCCTTGTCCGGCCTGTCCGGCTTTTGTTAGGCTTTTTATTTGGTTGCCACGCCAGGCGAAAGTCGAGCCACAGAATCATATGAAGCGCACGCATCAGGATGTCGGTTAGCAACCGATGATGATAGTACTCATGAGCGCTGACACTAATTGCATTGTCACATGTCCGGCTTTTAGGGTAAAATGTCCGGCCAAATGAAGCACAAAGTCCGGCTTTTGTGATTTTGGACCTGGCAACCCTACCTGTGTTGGCACTTGCCTGATGTCTGGGGGCGAGGGGTAGGTGGTGGGTTGTGGGGTGTCCCGTGACGTGTCCACAAGTGCTAGACGCCGCGGCAGCCGGCGTCGGCGCGGCTGAGGCACAGGTAGCGGCGCGCCGCCAGCCGACGGGACGCGCGACGGCGCACGCGCACGCGTTGCCTGCAAAAAACATATTAAGCGATTATTCCCTCGTCCTTACAATAGGGATGTTTCCTGGGTAAAAAAGCAAGAGTTTTAATTAGTCCGTCAGTTAGCTTATCAAAAACTACTCGACACGTATTTTTTACTTTTTAAAACTAATGAAAATGTAAAGAAATAAAGCGTGCCAAAGTTCTACAGTGAAGGCCCGTGACGTCAATGAGTGCGTAAAAGTGGAGCACTTTGTGACGTCGCGCGGAACTTCAACGCATTATAACTTTGTAATTATTTGTTTGATTGACAATTCAAAATGTACGTGTCCAATATTTTTTTATATTCAAATTGACGGACTAAAAAATTTTTTTAGGAAACTAGCCTATTGAGATAACTCCTGGAGTCAGGATCTATCTTAACGGCCCACAAAATCCAACCAGTGAAGTCGGGGGATAGTGACATTAAAGATCTCAAGATATAAATAAAACTTTAAATATAGAAATGTGCAAAACATGTGGTATGTGTTTTATTATGGGGACCATACCTACCCTGCGGGGACAGGGTAGGTTATGTGGGGATCACCAAGTCAGAAGGACAAGGCATATTCACTAAAAAGACCCCGGTGCTCCATCAATCGCCTTAAGTGGGAAGGAACTGTGGGATTCCGGACAAAGCATTCTCTACCTCAGTCCCTCCCGGAAACTCCAACACCTCAGCTAGCTTGCCATGGTCATTGGTCACTCACCAGCGCTGCCTCTACATGGAGAGGTAGCCGCGCGCGGCGGAGCGGCGGCGCGCCACGAGGTAGGCCACCAGCACCACCAGCACCAGCCCGCCCAGCGCGCAGCCCACGGCGATCGGCACCGCGTCCGGCACGTCGCCGCCGCCGCACTCGCGCGCTGTGACCAAAAGGGACAACCATTAATACATTCAATATCTTTGGACAATTTCACACAGCGCTATCTAGCCCCAAAGCAAGCAATTAATATGCTTGTGTTATGGGTGCTAGCTTAACGGTTATACTACATTATATACTTTTTAAATACATACATAGTTATACATAGTAACACCTAAACCCGTCACAGAAATTAAAATTAATCATTTAAATTTGTGCCCGNTCCCGTGACGTGTCCACAAAGTGCTAGACGCCGCGACAGCCGGCGTCGGCGCGGAACTCCGACATGTCCTGTGTCCAAGTGGCCTGTGTTGGCACTTGCCTGATGTCTGGGGGCGAGGGGTAGGTGGTGGGGGGTGGGGTGTCCCGTGACGTGTCCACAAAGTGCTAGACGCCGCGGCAGCCGGCGTCGGCGCGGCTGGGGCACAGGTAGCGGCGCGCCGCCAGCCGACGGGACGCACGACGGCGCACGCGCACGCGTTGCCTGCAAAAAACATCATAAACGATTATTTCTTCTAGTTCTCACCATTGCTGTAACATCTAGAGTCAGGATCTGTCTTAACGGCTTATAGAACCCAACCAGTGAAGCCTGGGTTAGAGGGGAAAGTGATATGAATGAGGTAAAACTTAATAAAGAGATATACATCATGAGTGGCATGCGTTTTATTATGAGGACCCACAACCTGTCATCACCCACTAAAATTAAATTCCACAGCCACCTTAACTTGGTTTGTATTCATACATTTAGAGCTTAAGCTAACCATGAGATGATTCTCTATCTAAAGAGGTACTCTTTCAGACGAAAAACTTCAACTCATTAGCTGACTGAAACTTATCGTGAATGCCCACCAATAGTTTCTACATGAAGAAGTACCCATAACCTCTTAAGGCTTCCACAAACCAAACGCAGATCAGAAGCAGTGCGGGTCAGTTGCAGCGCGGCAGTAGGCACACTGAAAGCAGCGCAGTTTCAAAGCAGTTGCAACGCGGGCGGTTTTCAAAAAATTCAATATTCGAAAACCGCTTTCAACGCGCTGCTACCGCCCTGCGTCCGGTGTGTCATGCTAATATGGCCGCCATAGTAATACAACAGCGCGGGCCCGCGCTCGCGCCGCTTCTGTCCCGCACCCGCCTCGTTTGTCGTTCGGCAGTTGAAGTGCGGTGCGGTTGGAACGTGGGCCTGCGTTCAAATTTGGTGTGAAACACTTCAAAGAGTTTCTTGTATTACAACTTACACGGGCCCGTATTCAAACTGCGCTGCTACTGCCCCGCGTTTGGTCTGCCCAAGCCTTTAGACAAGTCTTCAATTCTTCAGCAAATCTTTACGATAAATACCACTCGTGCACTCACCAGCGCTGCCTCTACATGGAGAGGTAGCCGCGCGCGGCGGAGCGGCGGCGCGCCACGAGGTAGGCCACCAGCACCACCAGCACCAGCCCGCCCAGCGCGCAGCCCACCGCGATCGGCACCGCGTCCGGCACGTCGCCGCCGCCGCACTCGCGCGCTGTGACCAAAAGGGACAACCATTAATACATTCAATATCTTTGGACAATTTCACACAGCGCTATCTAGCCCCAAAGCAAGCAATTAATATGCTTGTATTATGGGTGCTAGCTTATACGATATACTACTAGATACGGATATACTACATTATATACTTTTTAAAAACATACATAGTTATACATAATAACACCTAGACCCGTCACAGAAATTAAAATTCATCATTTCAATTTCTGCGGCATAGTTGTCCGTTTCGAACCACTACACCAAACGACCGACATTGATGCTATCGTTTCATCCACGAAGACGCGCCCCACCAATTTTAGAGAGGGTCGAGGGAAGCGCGAGGTGCGGGGAGTTTGATCCGAGCAATCCGAACGTCATTAATGTNGGACAATTTCACACAGCGCTATCTAGCCCCAAAGCAAGCAATTAATATGCTTGTGTTATGGGTGCTAGCTTAACGGTTATACTACATTATATACTTTTTAAATACATACATAGTTATACATAGTAACACCTAAACCCGTCACAGAAATTAAAATTAATCATTTAAATTTGTGCCCGGCGAATCGAACCCGGGACCTCTCAGCATAGTAGTCCGTTTTAAAACCACTACACCAAATGGCCGATATTGATGCTATAGATAGATCGTTTCATCCACGAAGACGCGCCCCACCAATTTTAGAGAGCGTCAAGGGAAGCGCGGGGTGCGGGGAGTTTGATCCGAGCAATCCGAGCGGTATTAATGTAGTGTGCGTGTGCACTCATGGATAATTTTGCGAGTACCGATAACACTCAAACATTAGCGGAAGAATGGTGGGGCGCGTCTTCGTGGATGAAACGATCTATACCTACTAGTAAATTAAACAGGTTAAAGTCAAATAAGTAAAAATACAAAACAGACTCTTCTTCTTCATTCTTTCAACATCATTAAATAGAGAGGGTTCAAATATACGAAAATCATGACCCTTAACTGGTATCGGGGGTCTTAGTTAAAGTTGTTCAGTTTTTAAGTTCAATAAATAAATAAAAGAAAAATAATTTATGTGACTTAAATTGGGATTTTTATGCATAAATAGTTATGGGGTTATTTTACATTATTGATTATTGACCCCCGATACCAGTTGCGACAGTTGCGTTACCTTTTTTAGCGATACCAGCTAAGGTTTAAAGCTCGTCTTTGTACATTCAATCTTCGTGATATTTCAGGCTAAGGTCATAATAAACCATGATGCATGCATACTTATTACTACATTGAGATTCGATATAGCTATAACGAAACGGTTCACGACTATTCATTTCACCGAAACGATCGCCTTAACTTGTTTTTTGTGTAGAGCTCAAACGATAAGGTCACCTACTGAGTTACACAAACTAACATTGATTGCAATACAATCACTCCATTCTTCAATTACAATGAGCCATTAAATAAACACACCGNTTTTCATAAGTAAATCATTAAGTCCATAGAATATCAATAGGTACATTGTTTGTTGCTTCGATTAAAAAAAAAGGATGTAAAACATGCTGAATAAGTACTGATTGCGTCCGAGCGGATGTTGTAACGTTGGCTGGGGACTCCCCTCGCGATATCATTATATCTACTCGCACGCAGTTTTCATTTTGCCTTGTAGGGCAAGTACACTATGCAGAAAATTGGCTGTGACGTGAATGTGAACACCATCTCGGTTACTTCTCCTTCCCCCACCTGTGTGTCACCCATACTTCGGTATGCGATCTAGCGCTTCGTATCTGTCAATTTCCCGCAGTGTACTTGCGCCGTAGCAGGACTTGTTTTTCAAAGTATGAATTCAAATAAAACGTGACCTCAATGTCACCCTTGCTGATCCAGTTATAACAAGAATTGTGATTCAGAAAACAAATTAATGACAAAATTTGGTAGACGTTGGTCATTGATTGAATGGTCGATTTATTTTATTTGTAATTTGTTATGCTATCAACGTAATAAGACAGTGCATTACCAGTTCAATCGCATCGTAAATGGTTGTTAATAATAAATTAAAATCATAATAAAGTAGAATCTACACTTGTTTTTAATATTTGCCGAGTTGTAGTTGCAACATTAGGAACCAAGAGTTATTTTTAGAATACCATTGAAATAATCGATAACATAGCGTAAAAATAACTGGAAAATGTCAACAGATAAAAATGTGAATCATGTTTTTCAGTTCACAAGTTCACAAAGGAAACAAAATTTGTCATTACTTACTTGTGGTTAAACGGTTTAAGTATTTATGATTTCCGTGAGTAATAGTGTAAAGGATTAGTCGAGCCACATGTAAACACAGATGTGATAACTAAACAGTGCCCCTGATAACATCGCAGGGCATAGTAAAAATAAAAGTAAGAATACTCCACACAAATGCACCGAGCCAACACAATAACATTTTAACATCAACTGCAAAAGGGGAGCTCCATGCCAGTCTGAACACTGTAACCGTCGCTATCGATTTATGAATACCATTTTTTATAAACATTTATAGGTGACTAAATTAAAAGCATGTGCCTTCACGAGTATTAGTACCTGCCTATCCTTTAATGAAATGAAGTTTAGAACCAGGCTTTTAAATGGTGCCAATATTAGTGGGAAGTGGGGATGCATACGTTTGATAGTGCTTTTCGCGGGAGGTTCGATTTTTGTGATGACCAGTATATGTAGGCATAATACTTAAATGTCGCATTTGAGGCCCATTTTGCTCCGTTTTAAACAAATTTTATCATAGATCTCATCAGGGTCCTACTTCCTACACTTATGGCAAGCCTCAGTTTGTTGTGATGCGCACCGGCGCCGGCGCAGATAAGCGGCGCGCCCTTGCCGAGGTCACTGCGACGCAGCGAGGAAATTACATTATTGTCAGAGGACTGAGTCCCGCACCAATCTACGACGCCACTGAGGTTTTATAGATTTGAATCCTAATTTTAAGAGAATATATTTATTAACACGTTGGACGCCACGCATCTCACCGGTGAGCCTCGAACCATTAAAATGTCTATTGTGTCTAGTCTCTCGGCAGTGAACAGTTTTAATTCAATTGAAGTACGTCTGTATTTGTTATTTAGTCACATACGCTTACTTAATTTGGGGTTAGGTGTGATTCTTGGAACCATTCATTTATTTGACTGTTTTTATGTGCAATCGTACTAAACTGCAGTGACAGACAATAATAAATATTACGCATATCAGGGGCACATTGAATCGACGTTCTGTGTGTTATAGTTGACGACTCGCCAACCATGTTTGTCGGGCATTGGCGATATGATAATTGATAAGGCAATCAATAAAATCTTTTCGTTTACGTATGTAGCACGTTTGTTTAATGGCGTTTCGCATTACAAATTGTTTTTAAAGCAATAATAAGTAGAGATTTACTAACTTAGAAGGTTTCTAGGTTCGATTGCCTGATATAAAATCACATAGTATAATATAAAATCACATTGTGTAAGTACATATTATTTGTTTCCAGTAACTCCTACTATATC